TCATGTCATCTCAAAGCCGACAAATCTCTGAAGAGAAGAGAAGAGAAGAGAAGAGAAGAGAAGAGAAGAGAAGAGAAGAGAAGAGAAGAGAAGAGAAGAGGCTCTCAACTATTTCTTGATATGCTATGACACATATTTTCTTTTCATGTTGTTTCTCATCCTTTCCTTATTGTAGCTTAACCAACGCCCACACCACAACCACATCTGCACTGTGGTGTTTCCTCTTTACATATGGAGTTTAGAAAGTCCTCATTGTGCTCCCTCCGTTAAAGATGCAGAAGTGTGGGTGCCGTCATATCGCCAACAATACTATAAAAATATTAACCTTTAATACAGCAAATAAATAAAGTCAAACTGGAACTTACAGTCTCCGTTCCTGGGCAGACGATGAGCACTCGGTGTGCTGCCTCGGCCTTCTCTGCCAGCCAGCGCATCGGGCCCAGCTCAGCGATCTTCTCCTGATGCCACATGTCGAAGGCCACGCTGCAGCCGCCATGCCCCTGCAGGAACTCAGCCAGCGCCACCACGGCCCGCTGGAAGGCCGAGTTCTCAGCAGGGTAGACTACAAGGACAGGGACAAGAACCTCGGTGGACACGGGCAAGTGTTTGAAACCCAATGACGCGGCAACATTCGGTCCACAACTTTTGTCTGAGAAGCAAGAAAACAAGAAGTTCTCTTCATTATCAACCTGCAGTGTCAAACCTGCAAAGGAGTCTGGATACGTTTCATTGCTTCCTTCATCAGCCTTTTGAATCCACTGCATTAGTCAAAGTTATTTTGCAATGTGAAAGACAGGTTGATGTAAATAAAGCACAATGCATTTTTAAGATGTTATGGTCCCGTAGCCAAGTAGCTCAGGACATATCCAAACATGTTCACAAGACTGGCAAGTCTGGAAGGCGTTCTCGAGAAAGAAACCTTTTTATGCTACATCAAATTCAGTACAGATATAAGAAGGATACATTACGTTGAACATCTATTCTTGGTGCTCAAGTCCTTTTTTGTGCTAAATGTGCATTTTTAAAAAAGTGTCATATTTACAGATTAGGTAGCAGCAACTCAGGAACATCAAACCAGACAGGCCTCCAAAAACAGCAACGCAGACGTCTTTCGTTTTCAGGGCTGCACAGACAAACACATACACACAGAACACATGCTGTAATACTGAGACTGAACGGAGCCAGAGTTAACACCGACTGTGCTGCGAGTAATCCTGAGACTTACTTGGAGACGTCGGCTCAGGAAGGATCTCAACTAAGCAAACAATAAAAAGGAGTGTTAGTGCAATACACTGAGTAATATGTAGATTGTAAAGTATTGTGGTAAGTATTCATACAGGTTTTTTTTGAGAGTTTTTTTCCACACAGATTGCACCTTTGTTGGGTGGAAAAGTTCAGCAAGCTATGGACTGGCTACTGTCATTATTCCTTGTGTATTTTAGCTCTGACTAAATCGACATACATTTCATTCTGGATTTTAAAAAAAAAATCAATGTAAATGAGTGTTTTGTGTTTATTTCAAAAGAGGTTTAAGATGCCTTTATTATCAGAGGACATGAAAATACGTGAGTCGTAGTGGGCATTGTTGGTAAATGTCTCTCTCTCACGGTGTACAGTAAGGTAAGGTGCATTTATAAAGTGTCCATTGTTCAATTATTTTTTAAAGTGATGAGTTCAGACTCTCCACAAGTCTGGGGAAGAAGCTGTTTCTCAGTCCGTTTGACCGAGTGGTTCTGGTGTTTGCCTGAGGGGAGAGAGGTGAACGGGGGTGACCGGGTTTCCTGATGATGACGGCTCAACTGTGGAGTCGGCTCGAGTAAACTTCATGCAGTTTTTGCAATAGGGAGCCGACAATCCACTGAGCCGTCTTGATGACGCCCTGCAGGTCCTTCTTTTCTGTTTGCAGAATCTCTTACCTCTCACGACAGGCAAAGAAGAGGGTGAAGATGAAAATGAAATTGAACTGAATTGAACTTTAAATGCTCACCTGTAGGAGTGTGAGTAGACTTTGACATAACAGGTGCTAAAAAATAAAAATAAAAAAGAGAGAGGAAAAGATTGAAAGCTTTTCATATTTATTTATTTACATTTTTATATCTTGTGTACATCTTGGGTTTAGATTTTTTTTTTTTAAATGTAGAATTTCATGATTCTGTGATAGTAAAAAAACATAGTTTCATTGCAATCTTATGGATGCATACATACTTTTGAAAACTATTCAAAAGGAAATTTTAACACGATAAACCAAATATATCTCCCATGTCTTTGCTTGTTGATGCCTAGCTGTGTCTCTATCAAGCTGCAAATGAAGAAAACTACCTTACCTTTTGGTCCACAAGCAATGTCAATACTGGCGGCCTTGTTAGTTGCACCACTCCCCATAGGAGGCAAAGGGAGGTTTGCACCCTCTATTGCGTAGAAGCCACATCTTATGTTCACAAAAAAATGAAACCACTTCTAGATTGGAAAAGAGAATTATTGCAATTAATTTAATCTTGTCTGCGTCATAGATTCTTCTGATGAGCCCATCAAGCTGGATTCATGATACCTGCTCTGATCCAGAGACGTTTGCTTGAGACAGAGGTGGGTTGTATTTACAGCGGTATTCTGGTTCTCCCGAAATGGTTATCGAAGTGCCAGTCAGGTGAATGATACTGGCTGCAAAAAGAAAACAACACTTTTGTAGAGGCTGAAATGTCAGTGGGTGATCAACTAATTTGACCTCGGCTGGCTGTTAGATATGAGCCAAGGGGATCAAAGACAGGACTAAAGGCAGACTGTACAAACTGCCGTCAAGGCCTGTACATCCACATCGTCTTTTGAATATGCAACAACATCTTTTGCTGATTCTAGGATCTTAAGAATACCAGAAGATATTCATCAGCAAGTGTGTGAAACTGCCAGGTGACAGATTTTGAAAAGTTCATTTTTGAAAATTTGTAGTGAAGCAATTTATATTTTCTTGCATTTTTCTGATTTTATTTATTAAACCCTTTCATTTTGTATAGTTTAGAAGTTTTTCCACTTCTGCAATATACTGACTGAATGTGTACATTTGTACAGACGGTTTAACATTCTTTCTTGTCCAGTATCACCTAAACCACGATAAAGTCCTATTTGTCGTTTACATTTATTTAAATTCATTTAAATAACAAACTCTCCTTTGTTATTGGCTAGACACTGTAGGTCTGGCAACTTCATTCAGATCATTACTAATAATCAGTAAGATATTTGCTTCTAATTAGAATATACAGTTGTGAACAAAGGTTTACGTAGACTTGTAAAGACCAAATCATTCCAGTCTGGAATTTCCAATCTCCTTAGACTCTCAATTTAAAATTTGAAACACTGACCAGACTTAGATCAGATAAAACAAAAATGTAGCTATTTGGCCACAATGACCAGAGAAATGTTTGAAGTAGAAAAGGTGATGCGCCTATATTTAAGAGCACAAATCACCTGTCAAGCATGGTGGTGGCAGTATTATGGTCTGGGGCTGTTTTGGTGGCACTAGAACTGGTGCTTTACACAAAGTAAATGGAATAATGAAGAGGGAGAATTACCTTCACATTCTTCATTAAAACTTAAAATAATCAGATCAACCATAAGGTTGGTTCAAGGTTCAAGGTCTGGTGTTTCAACAGGACCCCAAAAACACATCAAAAATGGTAAAGAAACGGCTAAATCAGGTTTAAGGTTTAAGACTGGCCTTCCAAAATTCTTGATTTAAACCCTATCAAGAACCTGTGGACTGTGATAAAGAGACAAGTCTGTTTGAAAAAAGACAATAAATTTAGTTGAACTGCACCAATTCTGTTGAGAGGATGGTGTCTCCTCTTGACAAATCTCAACTATGACCGAAAGGGCCAAGTTGAGGGGACAATTCTATTATATTAGCATTGCTGTATGGATATTTTTGACTCAACAGATTTTGTTGTATTTCCAGAAGGCCTACAATAAATCACTGAAAAAATTGCTTGTGACAAAGACACGTGGGTTTCACTGATTCCATCACAGAAGTCACTGGAAACTCAAGACTGTCATGATATACGTGATCTTTATAAGTGTAAGTAAACTTTTGTCACAACTGCATGATATGTATGTCAATAAATTCTGAGGGTGCCATATCAAAGAATGATGCATCATTGGTGTGCAGATGGCTACAAAATGAAAACTGAGTTGGTAAAAACTGCCTTAAAGTCAACAACATCAAGTAGTTTTATACATTTCTACACAAGAAAACAAAAAAGTGTTGTCACTTACAATCAACGTTGATTGCCCAGCTTATGTTCAGCTTGTCCCTTCCTTCCCATGTCACCCGCTTCACTTTCAAGTCTGCCAGAAAAGATGGAGCAGCCACAGTGCTTTCTGGTGGAAAATCTGGAACAAAGGACAACAGCGGTGCTCACTCAACGTACACATGTGTATATATTGTCATTTCGCCTGCCTAATCAGATGTTCTCTCTTAATTTGTAGTTTCTGTTTCTAGAAACACCAGAGAATGCTCATGTAAAACCAGTGTATTTACAACTTCCAGGAATCTTGAAATCAGCGTAGTGAAATTTGAAGGTGTAAGATGTGAACTGAAATGAAATAAACAAACGTTTGTTTGTTTTTTTAAATTCCTATTCTGAAAACAAAACAGAAAGATGCTAATGGATTTTTATTTGATATTAAATTCCTCAATAATATTCATTTGACCACTATATTCTCTTAAACCACCTTAAGGATCTAATTGACACCCAGGGCACTAAGTGAGTTCCCTCCTACTTAGCAGACAATTCCTTTTCTGGTAAAACTAAGAGCTGCTTCTTTTCCACTGCCACCATCACATTTGGAGTACCTCAAGGTTCCATATTAGGGCCTATTTTATTTCTTTTCTTTTTATATGACTCTGTTACAGCCCCTGGTGTTTATGTGCCATGTGTCCAGCCCTTGTTCTCCCCGCCTGCCATACCTGATTGAACCATCACCCAGCTTCCTCCACCTTCAGCGAATCAAAGTGCAGCCATCAAGTCATCAATCAACCACCCTCACAGTCAGGGTGGCTGTGATTCAGTGTGAGCAGTTGGCCTTGGTGCCTCTCGTGTCTTTGTGTTCTCGTGTTTTGGTAACACGGGTCCCTTCTGTTGGCAGCTGTGTAACTCGTTTAGGAGTTAATCGAGTCGTGTGTGTTCTGTGTATTTTGAGGCACTAGTTTGTTTGGTTTCTGTTGGTTTTGGGTGTTGCGTTTAAGTTTGGCTAAGGAGTTTACTTGTTTTGTTGAATTTAGTTAGCCTTTGTTTGGTTGTATTTGGTTCCTTAATTTAGCAACATCTACCAGCCCTGTTTTCTTTGTATTATCACAGTTTTTCTTTTTTTTTTTTAATGTTAATTTTGTCAGGAAGCAATAAATTGCTTTAGCCAACCAATAACACCTGGTTCTTTGTTACTCCCAGCTGACCCTAGACAGCTGGGTTGTAGCAGCATAAAGTGTCCATCCAACGTTATACTCCGCCTCCATCATATTCATCTGAACAAGCTGCAAGGATGTCAAGTGCTGGATTGCCAAAAATTGTCAGCAACTAAAAGACGGAAGTGATTGTGTTTGGTCCCCCACGACACAGCAACAAGCATAAACTTTGGTACAGTGACAATAAACCTACATACAACCTATATAGATAAGACCAAAAAGAAAACTACAAAAACACCTTAACATAACAGTAAACTTTTAAAAGAGACTTTTAAGATGATGGGGACCTACAACTGGGGGGACCTGTTAAAAAACAACAACAACAACAACAACAAAACACATTAACAAACAATAATGCCTGCTTTTAAGGAAGGAACTCAATTTATATTTAATATAAAAGATTTGAAAAAAGCAAAATACTGCTGAGTGCAATACTAAGTTGTATCGATCACTTCCAGAGAGCAGATTTGCTCAGATTGCAATTAGTTATGTGTTTGAGAGATTCTGTTATGAGACTTTAGCAGCGAACTTTTTCCTGCATCTCTTGTCCTGGACTATTTAAACGGTCAGTCACTAAGATAAGATAAGATAAGATAAGATAAGATAAGATAAGATAAGATATGCCTCTATTTATCTCACAGTGGAGAAATTCACGTTGTTGATAGCAGCATTAAACAGAGGTACACATATACGAGACAGAAAAAAATGTACATATAAATATAAGAAGTAGTGCAAACAAAGAGAATCGTGCAAACAGAATATGAAAATGGGCTTCTGAATGAGGGGTATATGGAAAAGATGTCAGTATATATATAAAAAGATAGGGATTAAATATATAATAATAGTGATAGTAATAATAATAATAACAATAATAACAACAATAATAATAATAATAAGCAGTGCAAATGTAGATATATACATACATACATATTGAGAGGTAGTGGTATATTAGCTATAGGGGATATTGCACGTTGTGGGTCTACTGGGATTACAGCTGGTTGTAGTCTCACAGCAGAGGGGAGGAAGGACCTGCGGCACTCAAATTACTATTAAATAAAATTATTCTAAAAAATTAAAATGAGCATTAATGTTAGAATGAGTCCAACGTTTTTGCTGTAGGGAACACCTTTACATATGACCATAGCTGTAAATCATCATTAAATAGATTTATTCTTTTTTTTTAAAAAAAAAAACTGTTTGTGAGCCACTGGCCCTGCTGTCCTGCACTCATTGTAATATTGAATATGAACTGAGCACTCCATTTTATATACATTTAAATCTGAAATATCTTGCAATTGTCAGGTTAAAATTTTGCCAAAGCAACACCTCTGATAATAAAGGTGAACACAGTCCTACCATATTCTTCATATACTTCACACAGCGCTGTCTGCACACAAAGAGAAAAAACAGAAAGGGGATAACCTAAACAAAAATCACCTTCAGTGTTTTACTGAAACAATGAATAGTTCATTTATAAAGTCAGAAACTTACAATTTCTTGTGATGCCACCTGAGCTGTGACATAGGAGGAACAAATCAGCATGAGTCTCCACATCATCAACCCTAATCCGGCCTAAAAGTATAGGAAAAAAAAAAAATAGTGAAATATAATAATATCCTCTGGCTGTGCGTTGCTGAGTGATATCCTACCTTTGGTGCACTTGTTGAACGAACCTCCGCTTCGGCGAGTCGCTGCTTTTGCTCCGTTAGTTGAAGTGCAGCCCGCTAAGCCCCGCCCACCCTCCGCCTGCTCGCCTCGGGTTACTTCGGGTTAGTTCGGGTCTCCAGTTTCAGCTCCAAAAAAACACGGTAAGGTCCGCTTTATTCTGCTGCTTAATTCAACACATAACGGTGTATTTCTGCTCGCGTTGGCGCTTGACTACTCCGACACCACCTCGGTTTCTGCTAAATGTGATTTCTGATGGTGCATTCAGTGATTTCCATGTTCTCCATGTAGTCCAAACGACTTGGGACCGAGCTAACCACTAGTTAGCTGTTCAGTCTGAACGATTTGGTTAAAGTCCCCCCCAAAACCAGTCAGGTAAACCCTTCTAGAGATTGTTTTAAAAACAGTTTAGCAAAGCAGAAATGGCCAATTAAAGTAGCAACCGTACACCATTTAAACTGTTTGCTGAGAAGTTGCGAAACTTGGTATTTAATCGTCAACTTTTCTTGGAAAAAGCCTTAAAAGTAACATAAATGAGTGCAAACTTGCAGACATCCTAACTTTTTCGTGTTATTTTGTTGTAAAATATTTACTGACAGCAGAATTCGGTTAGATTCTAAAAAGGTGATATGAAGTCAGTTTGCTGATATCAGTCTGACCTAGATAACACTCCCTGACTGGAGCTGATCATGAGAGCTGCACTCTCTGTGCACATTTTTGACCAGACCAGGATCAGTTATTGCAGCCTTTCCACACAGAAGGGACACAAAAACAACACAGACACACACACACAAGCTTTTCTTTTCCTGTGCACGATCATGTCTTTTTTTGTCATTAGGCTGCAGCTGTTCTCCCAAGTTGAGATCCACAAGAGTCTAAACTAGAAATCATCTTTGCTATGTGGTGCATAAGAAAGTAAAGATACACAAATAAACCGTGAGAGAACAATGACAAATAACCAGGGCTCCAGCTCAGTCGTTTCTAGTTATTTATTTAACTGCAGCTCATTTAAAAGCCGTCGGTTGAGACTTTCGCAAGGTCAAGGAGTGGCACATGCACTATTTAATACTCAACAATCCCCAAATCAACTAAAATCCTTATTGCAATGCACAGTTTGAATATTTAGCAAGACGGCATGGAAATGAGTGTCACTGCACAATCTGTAACTGCACGTCACAAACTGAGGGGCACAGTTTGTGTATTATATTGCACACACTCTTGTTTTTCCATCCATCCTCCTTTGGCCCTTGTTTAATTAATATTATGTCATCTTTGATGCGTTGGCATATTAAATGGGGAATTGGTAAATTATGTATATTTCATTCAATTTCAGTTCCAGATTCTTCAATATGTGTTGTTGTGGTTCCCAGTGAATAAAGAAGTCCTTCCCCAGAATGATGTCTTTGGTCATGCAAGGCCGAACGGGAGCCCGAAGAGTTGTGATGGGGACTCGGAGAAGACTTATGAAGGACAGCAGGTGCTTCTTTACCTGTTTGCCAGATTGTCAGTTTATCTCCAAGACCAAAAAGATCAGATCCCCCTCTGCAAACCACTACAGATGCTTCGCCGCCTCAGCTTCTCGTCGGAACTCTTCATCATCACCCGCGGCCAATCAGAAAACACCGTCCTACAGCTATGTCATCGTCGGGGCTGGGTCAGCGGGGTGCGTCCTTTCCAACCGCCTCACTGAGGATGCCCATGAGTCTGTGCTGCTGCTGGAGGCCGGGCCTAAGGACATGTGGCTGGGCAGCTCACGGCTGTCATGGAAGATCCACATGCCGGCTGCGTTGACCTACAACCTCTGTGATGACAAGTACAGTAATAAAATGATCTTGTTTGTCTTTCTACTGGCCTTGAAATGTTGCGGAGCAGATGGAAAATAGTAATTCAATTTGCCGTAGTGGCTGATTGTGTTTCCAACTTGCTTAAATATTTACTTAAAAGTGTAGAGGCAACGTTTTGCCTTGGTTTGACTCTTATCAACCCACAGATACTTGCAAAATCAGCAGGAAAATGATGACCATCTTCCTGTTTGCTCAGTTTTTGTAGTTATCATGTGGAAACATCTGCTCAACCTTTGCAAATGAAGAGGAATTATTCAAGAGTTAAACATATTCACAAAATGTCGACTATTATCTCAGTGATTACATGTTTCAGACGATTAAATGTACAGTAAATCAAGAATGGGCTCATTGTCTAGATAATCTCAGCCACGAATCCTTCATGTATCACCTTGATCAAATATAATGATGATGATTTTATCGCTCCCAATATAGCATCATGTTAATGAACAGGCAGACATCTCTTCAGTTTTTGTCATGCCGTCTCTCTTTCATTTCTCCTCAGGTATAACTGGTACTACCACACTTTGCCTCAGGCCCACATGGATAACCGGGTGATGTACTGGCCGAGGGGTCGTGTCTGGGGAGGGTCCTCTTCACTCAACGCCATGGTCTACATCCGAGGCCACGCCGAAGACTACAACCGCTGGCAGAGAGAAGGTGCTGAGGGCTGGGATTACGACCACTGTCTGCCTTACTTCAGGAAAGCTCAGTGTCACGAGCTGGGAGAAAATAGGTAACTAATGAAAATATCCAGAGGCTATGTTTTGAATAAAGCCTTCTAAATCATTTGAATATGCGCAGACAAAGTTTGAAGGGAACCTCGCCTGGGGCAGTGTTTCCACCCCACAGACTTTCCAGGTCTCACAATGCTTATGCCAAATGCTAAATGTGTGATTGGAAAGTTTTCCTCATGAATGTACAGTGTTGACGTAATTGTTGGGCAGACTCTGGACACATGATCATTGCAGGTATATGTTGTGCGTCACAGATTTGAATAGAATGCAAGAAGCTTGGAAACCACGTGAAGAGTGTGTAGGAATTTTTTGTTGACTTTGGTGGTTTGCGGAGAGCTCTGACATTCAAGGAAATGATTGCCACGAACAGAAGTGATGCATATCTTTGTCTCTGTTGTTGTGAAAGACTTTTTACGGTCATTCGAATGGAAGAATATTAATGTGTTTAAATTTAGCAGTGACTGGAAGTCCTCATGGCTGCCGGTTTGCGTCCTGTTGAGGACACCTGGGATCTTTCTGCGTGGAGTTTGCATGTTCTGTCCAGGTTCTCCAGCTTCCTCCCACAGTCTAAAAACATGTTGAGGTTAACTGGTGATTCTAAATCGTCCGTAGGTGTGAATGTGAGTGTGCTTGGTTGTCTGTCTCTAAGTGTAGCCCTGTGATAGACTGGTGACCTGTCCAGGGTGTCCCCTGCTTCACCCTGAGTCAGCTGGGATAGACTCCAGCCCCCTGTCACCCTAGTGAAGATTAAGCGGTGTATGGATGGATGGATGGATGGATGGATGGAAGTCCTCATCCCCAGATACAGTGCAAACAGCATTTGGAAGTTCAAATCTGGCACCCTCAGATGTTCATGTTAGACACTTTGGGGAATGGTTTCAGATTTTAGAGATTAAAAGTGTTACAAATTACATGCAGATAGAATGTATGGGATGTTGTCTCATGACATTTATGTACTTCAATCTGTGTGAAAAACCTGTGATCAGTATATGTTCATAAGCTGTGATTGGATGACTGCTTGCATGAAAGTTAAAACATCGCCACCTTTGTAAATAACTTACAGCTACAAATACACAACGATTGTTAGAAAAAGATAGTGCTGCTCGTAGAGAAGTTGATATTTTTCTTCTGGTATTGATAATTTAATATCTTACCTGCATGATTTCCACAGACAGACATGATTCATTTTAAAAGGCTTGCATCTTCATGAAGTGTTCACTTTGCGTTTTTGCTTTGTGTTGCAGGTACAGGGGTGGCAGCGGACCTCTTCATGTCTCCAGAGGAAAGACCAACCATTCTCTTCACAAAGCTTTCATTGAGGCGGGACAACAGGCAGGATATCCCTTCACTGACGACATGAATGGATACCAACAGGAAGGCCTGGGCTGGATGGACATGACCATTTATAAAGGTTCAAGAAACAAAGCATCTGTATAGGATCTATATATAAATACAAAGTATTTACAGTCGGGACTAGTTGTTTATTTAAGTTTTAAGCTTCAGCACATTCAATTTTAAACAAAATAATGGATGCTGCTTTGAAGTACCGGGATTCAGCTTTAACTTGAGTAGGTTTACATCAGTGTTAAAAGAATTTCTTGGGAGATGTAGTCCTTTTGACACATGTTGCCCAAATTGCAAGGGTGAAGAAGTAATTGGACACCTGGTGACTCAAGTTTTCTTGAGAAACCTTTGCTTATTCAACATTAATGCGCTTAGAAAAAGGGGAACCTGTGTATTAGAGTTGATCAATACTTGGCATTCAGATGTGGCATAACAACATGACAAAGTTAGTGAAGAAGATAATGATGCATCGAAAAGGAAACATCTATCAGTGAAGTTAGTTGGGTTGCTAAAATCAACAGTTCCATCAAAAACAACAAAGAAAAAAGCAGATATGCAAAGTAAAACTAGAAAACGGAAAACTGCCTGATAAAATGAGGCTTGTGCAGGACCAGAAATTAGTTTGGTTGTTGAAGAAAAACCCCTTTATGACTGCACAGCAAGTCGTAGGCATACATGTCTTCATGACTTCATGACCAGAGCTTTCAGTTCATCATGAGGTTAAAAACCCCGTGGGAGCCTGAGAACAGAAGGACCAGGTTGTATTTTTCACATACCCACAAAAAAAACCCCACATCCTCTATGTTATGGAAAGAAGAAAATGTAGAGAAAAAAGGAAGCAAGCCATGAGCCAAAGCATGCTTCATCTGCCAAACACGGTGGTGATTCAGTGGTTTCAGTATGTATGGCTGCCAACGGACCTGGTGCGCTGTTATTTATTGATGTTTTCACTGCTTACAGAGGCAGCAGGGTGAATGCAGAAGTAAGTGGGAGCACGATGAGAGCTCCATCAAAACTCATTCAGCAGAACCAATATCATAAACATACAGTTAAAACAACAACAGGTCTAGGGGCGCCGCTATAGCTCACCTGGTTGAGCTGGCGTCCCGTGTACAGGGCTGCAGTCCCGATGTGGAGGTCATGAGTTTGAATCCTGCTCACGGCCCTTCCCCACACGTCCTCCCCCACTTTCCTGTCTGTCTCTCTCTCACTGCACTATTGAATAAAGGCACAAAAAAATAACTTAAAAAAAAAACAACCACAGGTCTTTTCTAGATGAACTGATTTTAGTCCACTTGCTGAGAACCAGACTAAAGAGAGCCCCACTACAACTCAGAGCTCAGAGTGGCTGGTTTGAAAGCCTGGGAGAGCATCACAAGGAAAGATAAGAATTGTGTGTTCATGTTTGGGGATCAAAGCTCTTGAAATATTAAATATCATGATTCTGTTTTTTAGATGAAATACTTGTAAACCCCTTAATGTTTGGCTTTATGTGTTATAAGGGCAACACCTTACACACCGCCATGCTGTGTAGGTTGACACTAAGACTTGGCACTTTAGTGTCTGTTATTGTATTTCAAATTGAATGTGCTGTAGCTCAGAGCCTGAAGAAATAAAAAAGTCCTTACTATTTTGTCTACATCCCACTGCCTACGTCTGTCCAGGAAAGAGGTGGAGCACCGCCAGCGCCTACCTGAGACCTGCTCTGGGTCGACCTAATCTGAAGACGGAGGTCCGCTGTTTGACCACCAAAATCCTGTTTGATGGCAACCGTGCTGTTGGGGTGGAATACACACAGAATGGACAGCAGAAAAGGGTAGATGAAAAAGTTGAAATGAGGGAACTGATTGAATTGCTTTTAATCTTTATGACCTGTCCTTTGGCTTAATGTATTGATTCATTCAGTTTTTATGACATATTTACTCACTGGACTTACTGTATGTGACTTTTTAGTGATTCAGACTCACCCAGTTTTTCTGTTCTCTGCTCAGGTGTTTGCAGAAAAAGAAGTGATACTGAGTGGAGGAGCCATTAATTCCCCTCAGCTTCTCATGCTGTCTGGGGTTGGAAACGCAGACGACCTGAAACAACTTGGCATCCCTGTGATTCAGCATTTACCAGGTGCATCGTGTGTGCGGTGATAATGCTTGAAGGAGTTTGTCTTCTTGTTGCTTAAACATGTAAAAGCAGTGAAAAAACTGCAGGTGTTACTACTGATTCAGTTTGATGCATCTGGTTCATATGAGCATGTGAATTACAATCAAACCTAATTCAGCTGATGTTATGTATATTCACCTGCTCCATGCTGACGACCAGAATGCTTTCTGTAGTACAGTGTGTTATAGTAGCTGCTATTAATGCCTCTCCTCCTCCTCCTTCCTGTTGTTTCTCAGGTGTTGGCAGTAACCTGCAGGATCATTTGGAGCTGTATGTCCAGCAGCAGTGTACTCAGCCCATCACCCTGTACAAATCCCAGAAACTCTTTCACATGGTCAAGATAGGCCTTGAGTGGCTCACCTTGTTCACAGGTAACCAGAGTCACCTGCACAGGCATCAGGGAACACACGCATTGTACTAAATGTTCTTCAGAATTAGTGAATTTTACTGAAAGTTTGTATCACTACTGAATAGTCATTTTTTTTTACTTTATTTTTTTTTATTTTTCCTTTATTTAACCAGGTAGGTTAATTGAGAACAGATTCTCATTTACAATAACGACCCGGCCAAGAGGCAGCACAGAGCAGAAAATACAACACATCCATAAAAAACAATACACAAACGAAACGTAACAATAAAAGGCTTTGAAGATAAAATCCACTAAAAGCAGGTACAGGACTCGGTAAATAGTTGCTTCACCATATTTTTAAAAGAAGAGAAAGATATAAATACACTGAGTTTGAGTGTTTTTTTTAAGTGGTTCCAGTCAAGAGCTGCAGAAAACTGAAATGAATAGCGGCCAAAGACAGTGCGGGCTTTGGGGATGAGGAGGTTGCTGTTGCGAAGTGAGCGGCTGATGTGATGGGTGATGAGTAGTGAACGTAGGTATGCCGGAGTTTGACCTATGATAGTTTTATAAATGAACAAATACCAGTGGGTTTGCCTGCGGGAGTGAAGAGAGGGCCAGTTAACTAGGCTGTACAGAGTGCAGTGGTGAGTTGTGAAGGGGACAAAAACGGATGGCCGTGTGGTAGATAGTGTCCAGTTTGTGGAGGAGGGATTTGGATGTGGATCATTGCTTTGGATTAAACACAAACACCTCTTTACCTGCCTAGTATACTTGTTTTTCGTCCAGGAAATATCCCTCATAGACTAGTATGGGTTAATGTATATTTTAAACAAAGAGTTAATGAAGTGTAAAAAGAAAAACAAACATCTCCTTACTAAGGTTCAAATAGTCACAGCTTTGCTTTGCACAATCTAATTACAGTCAGTTATTCTGTGGATGAGCGACGTGTTAAATATGAGATGGCTTTTTGTCTCGTACAGCACAGGAAGCAGCAGGCTGCAAGTCTTTCGAGTTGACAGCATGAGTTTTTGTTTTCCCCCCGAAATGTTCTAACACACGTTACGGATCTGGTATGAAAGTTGTTTGTGTACCGTAGCAAGACAGAAGTTTGTAAATCACATCTGATGTTGCTTCAGCAGCATATATAGGGATCTTTAGAGGGAGTTATATTTCAGACAGAACCCCACAACAGCTGGTTGTGACCGCCTATGTAACATTAGCTTGGATGCATTCATGTAAAAAAAAAAAAAATCTAAAGCGTTACAGAGCTGTTTGTTTGTCAAGCATATATACTAGATTGACTTACATAACTTCATTGTGCTTTAAGTGTGTATTAACAACCAAAATGATAACAGATTGGAGCAGAAAAACTTGATTGGGAAATCTGTAGTTTAAAGAAATACAAACAAAACCGAACCTTTCTTCCCCCATTCGCAGCATAATAATGTGGCACATTCAGAGTATTATGTATGTGCTGCAGTCTCCTGATACAGACCTGTAAAGACACTCACTGTCAGGTTTTCAAGTTAGTCACGCTGTCTGATGGCATTTTCATTTTACTAACCATTACACTTTTTTTCCTAAAGGTTATGGAGCAACCGCCCACTTGGAAAGCGGAGGGTTTATCCGCAGTCGGCCCGGTGTCACACACCCTGACATCCAGTTTCACTTCCTGCCCTCACAAGTCATCGACCACGGGCGAGTTGCTTCAAAGATAGAGGCTTATCAGGTGCGTGAGGCTTCTCTTTAGGAAACACTGGGTCTTGTGTCAGTGGAAGAATGCCATCTTAATGATTGTGTTATGGTCATTTGTTTCCTAGTAAAATTTCACACCTGTACACTCCACAATTAACTCTTGATAAGAGCCTCACGTAGTGCACAAGGTAGTATTTACAGAGTCATGTGTACCATTCCATGGAAAACCAGTTATCTCAGACACCTAAAAATACACGGGGGAAGTTCCTGGTAATTTGCTGTCTGTTGGTCTCTTTTATTGCCTCTTTGCCAGAGAACTGTACACACAGTCTCCTTCTGAAGTGCTGCCAAATACCTCATGTTGTAGTACTACAGGCACTGTCTACCACTTTATCTTTTTGACATTGTCAACAGTGTAATAAAAGTTTCACGTGTCAGTAACTTATCATTCGGTTGTATCTGATAAGTTAATTGGCACAGGACCCATGAATACCAAGTGGTATCGTATTGTAGAATGACTTAATGTGTGATGTAAACACAACTACGCTGTTGCTTTTAAAGGCCTTTCCGGTGAAAATCAAGTTTTTTACTTTAACATGTCCACACAAGGTTTTGATGTGCGGGGAGACATATCATTAGCAAAATAAGCAGTCACGGATGAACATGTTTACCATCAAACTGCAGTGTAGCGATGAAATTGATTGAGATTAAGATTGCCTGGGTTTCTGTGTAACAAATCAAAGGAATTAATTCCAGTGAAGTTTCAGGTTGGGGTTTTCGATATGATTATTTTTCTTCAGAATCAGTTTCCGGTTTGAATGTGTACGGCTGAGTTATTCCAGGATTACAACTTTTCATTGTGTAGTGTTGAGTAGTTTTACAGTGTTTGAGCAGCAAGAGACGTCATAGATCTGTACATTCTAAAAGACACAACGACGTAGTGTGACATCAAAGCCATTTCAGAGCAGGAACAGATTATTTTCATATGAAAAGCGGACAAGGGTGTAACTTTTTAGGGGATTAATCGATGACCAGACAGGGATTTAAGTGCACTGACTGTAGGTGTAGTAAAAACACAGTGGTTGCTTCACTTGCACCACTTTTCAACCGTCATTTAGCACAAGGTGAGTTTTTAGAAACTACCGATTCATCTGCGTAGTTGCTCTTATACAAAGAAGACATTTCCATTGCACAAATTTGGCTAAAATTTAATTTTCCTGTTTTGCAAATACGGTACTCGCATGCCATAGTAGCTCCATTGTGTGGTTTTTGTATCAGTTGGATTTGAATCCCAGCACGCTCTCTCTGTCCTATGAACGTCATCAGGCATGTAGGGCAGCAAGCCAAGTTCGCCACTCCTGCCTGTTCTGGGTCAGCCTCTGAATGCTTCCCTAGGTGTGCTGTAGGGTCTCCCAATCCCAGCACTAAGCATCTGTTTTTCTAAAAAAAATAAATACCTGGTGGTCCAGGACGTCTTTAAAACCGCTCATTGCTGTTCTCATGCAATTTCTATAACAATCAAAGGTCTTTGTTAGACTTGTCTCTCTTGAACTAAAATCGCTCGGAGCTGTCAGTGCAGCGTGCAAATGTTTTGTCTGATCTTCAGCTTCAGTTTGCTTTCTGATCCAGCACCTTATGAATCACTCAAACTCAGCATGTCTAAAGTGTTTGTTATGCAACAGACTGTTTAGCTTTCAGCATACCAACATCAGCTTTTTTTCAAATATTTATGTGAGACGTTTTGTGTATTTATTTATTTTTTTTCCCAATGATTATTTCTGTGAATAATTGTAATACATGCGAAACACAAACTGGGGCTAATGCCATGCTGATGTTGAAACACTTATTGTACTTACTTGTACCTCTACAATCATTATTTCTCTACTTTTCATACACTCCAAAAGTCACTATGTTGTTAGTAGGGAGGCACAAATCACTTCCAAAATTCACCTGAAGCTAATATGAAGCTTCAAAAGTCAGAGTTTGAGAAAACAAGTGGGCAACTTCCAAAATTACTACATAATGTGACACATGAGCAATATAGTAAACTTTTATGCAACTGCCAGGAGAAAGATGCTCATTTTGGATGATTCAGGCTGTTGAAACCATTTTGAGCTTCTGCTTCACTGTCCCAGTCTTTTACATCATTCAGAAATAAGAGTTATTGTTTATTTTGTGCCGGTGGCAGTTCGATTTACAATCTTTCGCTCTTGTAGGTTCATGTTGGACCAATGAGAAGCACCAGTATTGGCTGGATGAAGCTGAAGAGCACCAACCCTCTGGATCACCCCATTCTCCAACCAAACTATCTTTCCACTGGTAAGATTCAGTCACTGAACATCACAAAGTACATCTGGGTATTAGTTCTGGCTGTATTTAACATTTTCCTTTTGAAATTTAAGCCCCTATTTAAGGGGATGATAGTAGTTTACTACCTTTATTACAGAAACTCTAAATAGATAATTGTCTGTCTTTGTGTTAACTTGTGTCTCAGCGATGTGGAGGAGTTTTATGTGAAACAACTGGTAGCAGAGTCTTATTAAGCCACTTCCTGGTGTTCATTGCCGCTCTTCCTCTCAGATATCGATGTGTGGGAGTTCAGAGAGAGTGTCAAACTCTCCAGAGAGATTTTCGCCCAGAAGGCCTTCGACCCGTTTCGCGGTCCAGAAGTCCAGCCCGGTCCTCAGGTCCAATCTGATGCTGACATCGATGCTTTTGTCCGCCGAAAGGCCGACAGCGCCTACCACCCGTCCTGCACCTGCAAGATGGGCTCGCCCTCCGACCCGACGGCGGTCGTCGACCCAAACACCCGCGTTCTGGGTCTGGAGCGGCTGCGTGTGGTCGACGCCTCCATCATGCCCAGTGTCGTCAGTGGAAACCTGAACGCTCCGACCATCATGATGGCAGAGAAGGCTGCTGATATTATCAGAGGTCGCCCTGCTCTCGTTGACTCAGGCGTTCCTGTGTACCAGCCTCCGACACTCAACACGCAGAGATGAACAGACACAAGGAAGAAGAGCTGGCACCTTTCAGATGAAGCGTTCAGGGTATGTGCGGGTCAGAAACAGTTCACAACACAAGCAGGTGAGAGGCTGCAGTGGCTAGCTTCCTGTGCTGTTTAGATGGAAGCAGATCAATTTAGTTTTGATCTAATATTACTTTTGCATACAAATTATTCAAGGACGTAAAGAGTCGGTTTACATTTAACTTTCACTTCTTCAAATGTCACAACCTCATGGTTTCCTCTAACAAGGATCTGTCAGGAACAGACGGGGAAAAATCTACCTTTTTTTTAACTTCCCAGCACTGGCTGGCAACCATGGCAAAACATTTCTTGCGTCATTGTCTTAGATGAAGGCGTTTATTTAAGCCAGCTGTGAGCTGATCGCAAAGTTACTGTGGATGTAATGGAAAATGGGACGAATGCCTGACATCACTTGGTAAGGTTTAAGTAATGCACCAACTCTGACATGTTTGTGTAAACATGCTCTGAAATTCACACACCTTAAGAGCTGCACAAGACTACCGTGAATGTCAAGCCTTTAAATGGTCTGTTGTTAATAAGGCCTTCCCAATAACTCGAACACAGTTTACATACCATTCCAAGTACACTACATTCTGTTAAACCACAGCCAGGTTTCAGGTTATGTTCTAACCGGATCTCTAGTCCTTCAATGAAAAACTGTGCAGCAGCTAATATAAAAAAAAAAAAAGTGTTTTTTCCTTGAAAGCCTTCAGAGATGATATCTGTTATAATGTGGTTCACTGCTGCAGTCAGTCGACAGCCAGAGTCCTGCGGGATGTGCATTCTCGCCGTCTGAATAATGATCAGAAACCTGCAGAGTTCACCCAAACACGCTCGTCTGTTCAGATCAGTTGTCATCAAGGTAACAATCTTCTTCCTTCCTGAAGTCTTGCACCGTCAGCAGTCTGATAAAAAGCATGGTTTGCACAGGTCTGTTGCATACATTTCATATCAGCGAGACGATGATATATGCACAAGATTTTATATAATTTCACATAATTTCACCTCATGTCGAACGGAGCACGTTGCCCAGCCTGACAGCAGATTTATTCAGTAATCAATCCATGTGCTCATGTGATGAAAAGGTTTAAGACAGGAGATGTAACAGTCATGGAGGCCCGACGCAAGAAAAACTTTCAAGGCCAACATTCACAGGTATGTTTCAACCAGGACCACCGCATTGTTTCTCACGTTTTTCCACTTAACAAGTACCAGTCTTGTTTCCTGGCAGCAGTGATAAACAGCCACATGTTGCTTACAGGAGGACTTGATGAGTGCATTTTCTATTCAAACAGTGGTCGTCTTGAGTTAGAGAGAGGGCAACCAAGCTCTGGTTCAAACAAAACTAGTTGCCTTTTTACCTCATAAAGAAACGATTCCATAACACTATCACAGTCGGACTTCAAACTGTTACGCTGGCATCCAGTGCCTATAAGAAGCATTTATCCCCTCGGAAGTTTCCCTTTTTATTGCTTTTCAGACATTTAATCATGAACAGTATAGTCTGGCTTTTTTTGATAACAGATTTCTACAAAGTAGTGTCAGTTAATGAAATACGTAAGATACAGATTAAGTGCTTGAATAAATATCTACCCCCTTCAATCTGTACTTAGTTGACACACCTTTTGCTACGATCACAGCATTGAATCTGTGTGAATAGGTCTTAATCAGCCTTGCACATCTATACATCCATACTACAATTATACCCAATTTGTCTTATGGTTTCAGCATGCACAGATGTTGTGATTAAACAGCTCTTTTCAAGTCCAGCCACAAATTCTCTGTAGGATTGAGGTGTTGGCATTAACTCGGCTGCTCCAGAACATTCACCTTGTTGTCTCTGAACCATTTCTGTGTAGTTTTGTCTGTATGCATCGGGTCATTTTCTTGTCCAAAGCAAACGTTGACTGCCTCAGGTTGTCCCTTCTAGATGTCTCTATATTTTGCTGAATTCATTTCAGCGTCTACCTTTACAAGCCTTTCAGGACCTGCTGCTGAGGGTCACGCCCACATCACGATGCTGCCACCACCATGCTTCACAGTGGGGATGGTGTGTTTGTGATGGTGTCCAGCAAACATAATCTGATGGTCCAAAAGCTCAATTTTTCTCTCATCAGATCAAAGAACCGTCTTTCAGTTTGACCTCAGAGTCGCCCGCATGTTTACTGGTGAACTATAGTTGAGACTTAATGAGATTATTTTCAACAGTGGCTTTCTTTTTGCCATTCTGGTATGAAGTTTAGACTGATGAAGAATGCGAGCACAGCGTCTCCCAGCTCAGCTGCTACAGCTTTAGCTTTAGTGTCTTGGTGGCTTCCATCACTAGTGTCTTTCTTGTTTGGTCATTCAGTTTTTGAGGACAGCCTCAAGGCAGATTTGCACATGTGCCATATTCCTTCCATTTCTTACTGATAGATTTAACTTTACTCCAAGGGGTATCCATCCACTGACTTATGCTTTTCAACAACCCTTTCCCAGAGTTATGTTTTATATCTTTATGGTGTAGTTATATCCAGGAGAACTAATTCCATACTGACTGGACCTTCCAGGTGTCTTTGTACTACAATCACTTGAGACACTTTCACTGCATTCAGATGGTCTTTGCTGCACCTGTATTAAATTAGGTGAGTCACTTTGAAGGAAGTGAATACTTGTGCAATCACTTATTTGAAGTTTTGTGCAAATTAAATTGAATAGTGTTAAAAAATGGTAAAAGGGCCAATCTTCCAAAGGAGGAGGTGAATACTTTTTTAAATTGGCGCTGTACTGTAGGTATGTTTCTGGATTTCATCTTTAAGGGTTGCAGGCAGCCGAAGGAACGACGTTCTTTGAAATGCTACCAATACCTTTGCTGCCGAGTCCTCAAATTTTACAACTCACAGCTTTGAGTTGAGTTTGCATGCGGCCAGACTAGCAGCCATATGATCTAGGTGGTGGACGTGTAAACTGTATGGTTAAAATACACTTAATGTTTATATACACTAAAAACTAAACTACACTAAAAACTACAAAAAATAAAAATGTCAGCGTTACTCTTATATAGTTTTTAATATATATTGCGAATGTTTACAAAGATGTTTTTTTTAAGATAAATGTGATCAACAAATCAGATGACATTATAAAGTTTTTAAATCTGATGATGGCCTTGGTGCCTATGAGATTGTTGTATTCATATGTTAGTGTCATCAGCGTAATATGTGACTAATGAAGTGTGACTGACACGTTGGTACTGAGATTTTTAACTGAATATCATCATAAATCATGTATTGATTCAAATCAGATTGACAGTTTGTGTCATCAGCCATAACGGAAAGATGCTGGAATGAAATATAATCATGTCTTATTAAGCTTTGCACAGTAGCGTTCATTAGCTCAGCTTCATTACTGTGATGATTATTGTTTACATTGTAATGCAGTGATGTACAAAGACTTGAATATTCCACTTATTTGTGTCTTAATGAAGGCGTAAACACAGGATCATAAAGGGAATGTTACTGCGAACATTGTGTTTTTTTTTCTTCTTCTGTTGATCATAAACAAAGCTTCTTCCTGACCTTGTCCTCGTGACTTTATTCAGTGATCATTACAAAAATCAGCAGGTTCATCGTCACATCAGGCAAAAATTCAAATGTACAAAAACAGGGTTGTTGGGTTTTTTTTGTTTTGTTTGTTTTCATTGGTACAAAATCTATAAGGTACTAGTACTTCTGCTACAAAGTAGGTCGAGCTATTTTTTTCTCTTAAATATTTCATACAACAAATGTTAGAAAGCAGAAATCTTCAAGTTCATCACTTTTTACAAACGCTGTACAGATTTTATACATCATCATTTCATAGACATGTGTAAAGCAGTGGAACAGTACAAAAAAATAAAGCTGTGTTGCACAACAAAGCTTCGTGTTCTCTGTCATTTTGTGTCCTTTGATAAACATTTATGTATTTGGATAGTTATACTTTGACTATGATTATTGGGTTCTAGTGCTGATGGCAGCAGGTTTCTGACAAGTGAGTGAATCTGGACCTGCAGCAGTGGCCGTCGAATGCTGATTTTACCGTAACAGAGGTATTTGTGGAACCAATCATGGATGGTGCTGAATGTAAAACATGTTTCGGTACTGATCTACAAGATAGGGTCTCTCTGTCGTCCATGTGTAAGGACTAGAGGTGCTGTAGGAGCTACGAAATGCCAGTTGTGTTTCTTTTAAGAGGCGTTTATGACTACTGTCTGCAGCAAATGTCCACATTTCTGCTCACAGCATGTGTTTAATATGGCTTCTGAAGTTGTCGAAATTCCTCCAAAATCTAATTTTAAAAGTCATCAGAAACCCAAACAGTAAAACTGAATCTTTGGCTGCATTTACACAAAATCCAACCAGTTTTTAAATTGGGAATTGTGTGACTCTTTCATGTTGGTTACTGAGGTTTTAGTTCAATTCAATTCAATTCAATTTTATTTGTATAGCGCATATTTACAACAACAAGTCATCTCATAGCGCTTCACAAAGGCAGAGACAGAAACACCCAACAATCCAAAACATTAGGATTCCCTATAAGCTTCAGCAGTCCGCTAATATTAGTGCCGCTAATTATTTTTTTTCCTACGGTAGCCAATCAGGTTCATCACTGGGAAAACATACTGTCAAATAGATATTACTTCTTTTGTGCAAATGCAGCCTTTTCCACAGTTTCCCTGACACTTCAACCACCAGACCTGGATCGTTACAGAGGTAATAACATTACAATTAGTCTGAATCAACACAATTTACATGCAGCTAGAAAATGCATAAGTCTTTTTTATGAGCTGTGTCGGCCACTAAAACCTGCGTATGAGTCTTCTGGAGAGAAGAAGAAGAAGAAACGAGTGCACGTGGACAGTGGACAGCTCGGACCTGTTGTCACCACTGTGCACAACAACTTGTTTACTTACACACTACAAATGTAGAATTGAATGCATCTGGAATGGCATCTGAGCATCTATGTGTGTGTGTAAAATGCACTCAATGATCCCGTGTTTTGGTTTTACATAAGAAGAAGCCCTTTGATTGCACAGATCAAACACGTTGCCCTGACAACAGTATTTAGATTGAGGAAAAGAGCAAAAATCACCCCGCTGTGTGACCCAGTGTTGCTGTTTTAAAGGTTGACCTGAAGACAGTGTTACAGTTGGCAGTGGTAGACAAACACTGGTCAGCGCTGGAGCAGGAGTGCAGAGGTGTTGCTTCTCCTCAGTGTTTACCCGCTAGCAGGTTGTGTTGTTCTCTCTTCACAGACAAGCAGCTGTTTTTGGACATCTTATGCACAGAAACCCTACAGATAAAAGGCAACAGCTAAACCACAATCACTGCATTCAAAGAACACGCTATGTACACTCTATAAACTGAATCTGTACGCTGTCACCAGTTCAGTAGTTAGTCTCCTGTTCTGTTGTGGCGTTTTAAAGGGTACGTGTTGAGTGTCATGAACAGCAACCCGTATGTTGGTATCTTTGTACTTCATCTGAGTCGGCATTAAACAAGCACTCAGCTGGTTAAGATAAAATCCACAGACGAAAACCTGCCAGCCGTCCAGGCAGTAAAAAGTTGAGTCAGTTGGAATGCATGACGCTGGCTTGATGCGCTTCAGCAGTGAGATAAGCTCCTCTTTGTTTTATTATTAGGCCAGTCTGAGTCATTTCAGATAGAAGTGTTGGTGCAAACATCTCAGATTTTATTTATCTGCTTTTTGGGACCCAAACAGATCTGGGAATTTTTGTGTTTTCACCTTCGAAAAAAAAAGGGCCATTTTAAGGGTTCAATAGCTCCTCACCCACCAGCACCCGACACGTATCATCGGATGGAGACCACTTGAATGATGACCCACTTGGATGCATAAACTTTACCTTCACATCCTCTTCATCCCATCCGGCCACCACTTCCCATCATACACACCGGCTGCATCATTCAGGTGGCCTCAACCTGATGACATCCGTTCATATCTGCCAGTAATACATGTTCTGTCACCACGCAGCTCCAAATACTGAGGAGGAAAAGACAGTACAAACTAGACATGAAGACCAACAGAGGCACTGAAATGGATTTAGAGAATTTAATTTTCTGCAAATAAATGAAGTGTAAATCCACTGAGGAATGATGACTTTTAAACTGCTTTGTCATTTCAAGTATGTGAACCTTCAGCTGGAGGCAAAACAAGCCTCATATGTTGGTAAATTTTAACGTGAAGACAACATGATAGCAGCTTGTGACTTTGCACATGTAATAACAATAGAGAAACCCTTTTGTGCACCAGTTTTTATGGTTCAAATCACCATTTTAACTAGTCAAAATAGCAAAAAACTGCAACCTTGGCTCGCCAAACTTGCCACAAAAGTTGGTGAAATATCAACAAAAGACTTTTTTTTTGTAGGAAATATGGTTACATCAATAAATAATAATAATAAATACACACTTAAAGGAACTTTCTGGGGCCCCAATACCACCCTCTTTGGAAAACGTTTCTTTCCATTTTCAAAGCCCCATAATTAAAAACATGGCCTCTGCTGGAGCCATTCAATCATTTGGATCTGATGGAAACTATTTTGACTGTGTCTTCACCAAACATCATGACTGTGTGAGTTATTTTTCTGGAGGTACCGAACCTTTAAAATGGCTTCTCACATAAAAACATTTTTAGTTTTAGGTCCCAAATAACAAATGCGTAAAATGTGAACTAATTCTGAGACGGTGCAGCAACATATTTCCTGATCTTTTTTCTCAGAAAATATTCACAGGATGTTGAATTCGCTCTACAAGCACGTAACTAGAATCTATCACAACACGTAATCGAAGGGGTGTGCAGCAGTTTGACAGTACAGGCTGAGAACAATGCGCCACAGTGTCGTAGAGAAAAACAAAAACGATTTATGGTTGTGTTTGTGTGAACTCATTTTCTTAGAACTTCAAGATGTGAGTAAAGTGAAACAATGAAATCTGTCTTCATAGGGCTTTAAAAAAAAAAAAAAGAGTTAAGGATCACTATGGACAGTCTGTGACATTTCTGTATCCTAAACGTTTCTTTATTTTCAGGTTATAAGTTAATAAAATTGTGTAAATTTAGCATTCTTGGCGGTGTAAAAGGGGGAAGGACTTACAGTATGTCAGCGAGCACATGAAACAGAAGGATATGCCTGAGGACAAAGTCTTTTTTTTTTTCTTCTCATTGATATGTGATTTCCTTTTCAAGTCAAAAACAGAGACGAGCAATGTTTAACCCTGAAATCCTGAACTGTGAACTCAGTGCAGCTTTGATTCAAACGTACCAGCTGGGATGGCTTTGGATCAGCCTGATCGAGATTATCTCAAATAAACTAACAAAAATATATATTATATATGTATATATGTTATCTATCTATCGAGTTTTTAGTGTAATTTGAGTCATAAGAGGTGAAAATGAACCAGTGTCTGTTATCATGACCAATAAAAGGTTAAAATCACACATGTATGTACATGAAATTCAACTGAGTGCATGAATTCTTGGAATCATTGGATGGCCAAAGACATTTTGCAGCAGGTCAAGTGCAGCTTACACATTGTGCTTCACTCTGGGATCGTACCATCACTGGCCTGTCATTGGCGTCTGACATTTAAACGGGTCATCCTGGGGAAAAATTTCTTTAAAATGACACAATACAATTCTGAATAAATCCAATGCAAGAAACATTTCATACACCTCAGTCTGAAAGTGAGTGGAGTGGTGGCACATTTTCTCTTTTATTGGCTCTTTGTATTGAGTGAACAGCGTAAGAACGGTGGCCTTGTTCATGCAGCAGAAACTATGACCATCCCAACGCTGTTCACCCAATACTGCACGCATGCAAACACCCTAACATTAAAGCTGATTTCGATCAAACCCTTGTTCACAATAAAGAAAACAGATTGTCTTGAATTCCTGCTGAATGACAGGCCAGTTGGCAGGTAGTAGCCTGATTCTCTCTCAATATTTGCTGAATTAATCTCAACAATTAACTTCTGTTCTCCGCTCAACAGAAAGAGAAAAACAAGGCACTTTGTTCGCTTGTCCATCCCTTTTTTGACGCTTTCTCTCCACTGCAGGATGCAACCTGTAGAGAGACGTTCTTCTCGCCGTGGAGCAGTAGTAAAAATTCAATTGAAAAAAACCTAAATATAATCTGGTGTGAGCCGCTGCTATAGGGAGGTGATGCATATCATCTCGTCTGTTAGGTCCTCCTCGCATTTCACAGCCACGTACGGCTCCTCGTCGCTGTAGTCGCGGATACTGTGGTCCCTAAGCTGCGAGTTGGCATGAGGGTCCGTGCTGCTGACGCTGCCGGTTCCCCCGGTGTTGCCGTTGCTCACGCTCCCGTTTAGCAGGTTGCTGGCAGCACTCTCCATTTCGTCGATGGTCATCTCGCAGGCGTCTGCGATCTCGTGTTTGGTCGCTGACACGAACTTGGGGTCTCTGGCGTATTTCCCCAAACCCTCAGATATCAGCACCTGAACACGATATGAGAGAAATCATCAAAATCTGACTAAATGTCAGAATGTTTTGTGGCAAAAGGGAATTAAGGTGAATTAAGAAAAATGCAGAAATCCATCCATCATCTATACACCACTTAATCCTCACTAGGGTCACTAGGGCTGGAGTCTATCCCAGCTGACTCAGGGTGAAGGCAGGGGACACCCTGGACAGGTCACCAGTCTATCACAGGGCTACACTTAGAGACAGACAACCAAGCACACTCACATTCACACCTACAGACAATTTAGAATCAACCAATTAACCTCAACATGTTTTTGGACTGTGTGGGAGGAAGCCGGAGAACCCGGAGAGAACCCACGCTGCACGGGGAGAACATGCAAACTCCACGTAGAAAGATCCCGGTGCCCCCACCGGGACGTGAACCGGCGACCTTCTTGCTGCGAGGCAACGGTGCTAACCACTGAGCCACCTTGCAGCCCAATGCAGAAATCATTTCTCTGTAATTTCTGCAGCTTACTTACTGTGCTTCACTCTAGCATCACACCACTCACTGGCTTCTGACATTTAAAGTGGAAATCAGGGAAAAATCCTTCTTTGAAAATTATTTTAAAACAAGAAGTCCTGAAGAAACAATAAGTAAGTGGAATGGTGGCACATTGTTCCCTTTTATCAGCTCTTCATACTGAGTAAACAATCGTGGTCTTGTTTATGCAAATTGCAAACAGTTAGTAAGGTGCATGAGGGTGAACTCATTTGGCTTTAAGGAAATAAATTACGTAAATAAACTGTAAAGATAAAATGTTGTTGTGAGGAAGCTGCAGGCCTCCCTGAACTAAACACGTATTCCACTTTTCCAGCTAATTGAGGTAAGCAAGGCCAATCTGTTTTTTTTTATTGTTTTAATTTGTTAAAGATGAATTCTATTTAGTGGACTGATGCATTAGTTGTTTTCATTAGTGGTTTTGTTGGCCATGTGCTCCTTCAGCGTTAACAAGCAGCTGGTGGTTTCAATCAGCCTCATTGGAGCAAACCAAGTGGAGAGACGAGGGGGAGGACTAAGAATGAGTGAACAGTTAGCTTGATCGTTGGTTCATTTTAAGTGGGATTAGCTAGACTGAGTAGAGAGTGAGTTTTTATGTACTTTTTGTGCAATCTGTGTAAATCATTTCACATATTGTGTATATGAATCATAGCCCTTGGCGTAGTCGCCACCCCTTCCTGGATGTTAGTGGTAGAGACTGCTGCAGTTATATACTAGATGGATTTCAGGGTGGTTTTGTTGTGGTTGTGAGTCAATGCTGTGTAAGTGTAAGTAAGTAAGTAAGTAAGTAAGTAAGTAAAATTTATTTATAAAGCGCTTTTCCCAGTCAAAAGTCACAAAGTGCTTTAACATTAATAAAATACAGACACAAAATTGCAAAAACTGCACAAAACATAGATAAAAAGCACAGTACACAGCATAAGAGCCTAGAAAAGAAATTAAATAACACCAGTACAGGGCAAGAGAATACAAAATTACCTAAACGCCTGTCTAAATAGGTGTGTCTTTAGCTGGCCTTTAAATGATGCAAGAGACTCAGCAGAGCGTATAGGCGCTGGCAAAGCATTCCAGCACCTGGGCGCCACCGCTGCAAAAGCTCGAGCACCTCGTGTTTTGAGGTGGGTCCGAGGGACAGATAAGAGATTAAGCATGTTTGACCTGAGGGGACGAGCTGACCGGTGGGGGTGGAGTAGCTCAGCAATATAAGCAGGGGCCTGACCATGAAGTGCACTGTAGGTGATAGTTAAGATTTTGAATCTGATCCTAAATGTAACAGGGAGCCAGTGGAGTGATTTCAGCAATGGGGTGACATGACAGTAAGTGTACATGTTGTAAGTGTGACAAGGAAAAAAACTTCCCAGAAACGTGGATGCTGCTCGTAAACCTGCTGGATTAATGCCTCAGTTGATGCCATTGCTGAAACCTTATAGTTGAATTTTTTGATTTGGTGACAGGAAGTTCAGCTGCACAAAAACTAACTGACACTAATAACAGTAATGCTAGTGTTAGTTCATATACTAAATGATTCATGTACTAAATAATCAATTTATATCTTAAATAATCCATCAAGGAGGAAAAAGTTATTTGATGTCGACTTTAGTTACTGCATCTCTGCTCTAATTCACAAAGATGTACAGATTATCAATAAAACACGATCAAATGTTTGCCTCTGAGGGTCCATGTATTCAAACACATGAATGAATAAAACCACAGTTAAAGCCGTTATAATACAGTCAAGGCTGAAGGAATTTAGTCAATACATCAATGAATAAAGGGTATTTTTTTGAGCGTGATTCTGGTGAGTTTCACGTGAGAAACGTGCCGTCTTCATAGACAGACTGTGAACGTTGCTGCACAGAAGCTGCAAATTCATGCATCTTCAAACTGGCAGCACAAAAGATGGTTACAACACCACAGTTCCCCGGTGAGTAAGCAAGATTAGAATCATTAAACAGGCCCAGTCTCCCGCTTCTCTTTCTGAGTTATGTGTAATCATCAGAAAAATGTTTTTGCAGAACATTGGACTGTGACAGTGAAGCTGACCTCGAACCTTTTGGGTACAAAATGTTCTCGATTAGAAGCTGAGTTACAGCAAAAATAAAAAACAGGTTTTATTTGTTATCTTTGATCACCAAATTCAGTTTATTCTTGAGTCCAAGTGAATGATTTTGTCAAATTTAAACAAGTTCTCTGACGGCTTTTCTGAGATATCGTGTTCATGAGAAGTGGATAAACAACCTGAAAGTCTAAAGCCTTGTCAGCGCAAAGGCATAAAAACAACAACAAGAGCAGCTACTGGGCTTTTTACTCACAGCTTCCACCAGACTGTGGGCGCTGCCTCTCTTCTGCAGGAAGCGCAAGCAGCTTTCTGCAGGTAACTGCAGACGTGACGGGGACTGGCTGCGGCTGGGAGGACCGTCTGGGCCTTCGGTATACCACGAACTCCTCTTCACCGCCCCGGGGATGCTGCCAACGCTGCCGGGACTGCGCCAGTCCACCTGAGGATACACAAGCACATATACAGAGAGATTCAACTTCAGCACATTGGAACAGAGTCTTTTCGTATCTCCCAGCTTGTTAGGAAGCTGGAGTTAGAGTGCAGGTTCAGTTATAAGGTTTAAGTTAAGAGCCCAGCAGTGGCAGGTTGGCATACAAAAGCACGCATAGAGTTAGAAAAGCTTTGCACTGATTTTATAAAGCATATTACAAATCCAGACACTAGTCCATTACTGGTATCAGACTGGAATATTCTAATGATGATAAATCATTGCATCAAAAGCTAAATCAGAGCATAAACGTTAATCAACAAAAGTAAAAATGATACGAGTGTATATGAAGTCAAGCTCCGGATGTGGTGCAGATAAACATTCATCTATCGTAACTTCTGGGCTATAAGCTGCTACTTTTTCCACAGGCTTTGAACCCTGCAGCTTAAACAGTGATGCGGCTAATTTATGGATTTTTACGAATTTGCCTCAAGATGAAAGTGACATTGAGAGCGACAACGACAGAGAGACTGAGGAAGTGTGTGACGAAGTAATTCTGAGGCTGCTCAATTCCGACACTGAAGAAGACGACTTTAGTGGTTTTAGTGGAGGAGGAAGATGAAGATAGTGATCAATGACTTTTCCTGGTAGGCTACTGTATTTTTTATCTTTTTAACCAGCCGTGTTACAAGAATTGCTGGAAAAAAAGCATTTACGGTATTTGTGTATGTTACCGGTACGTATTTAATTAAAAGTTTAACAAATCTTTCTGTGTAAATATCTCATGTTACAACGTGGACACCTGCGGCTTATAGACAAGCACGGTCCTTATATGTATTTTTCTTTTTTCTTTTTAAAGTTAGTGGGAGCGGCTTATATTCAGGTGCGCTCCATAGTCTGAAAATTACGGTAATAAACATGTTTTCTACCCATCTTCCGTCTTACACTTACAAAGGATTGATGAAAATGAAGATTAAACTTGTGCTGTCAAAAATCTAAATGTTTTGCACAGCAGTTTCAGATTTTTTTCTATTGATGGCAGCACTAAAGCTACAGTCAACTAAAAATACAATTTAAAACAGCAGGTCATACACACTACTCTGGCCACTGATTCTTTTAAACTCTTGAAGCACATTAAAAACTCTCAACCTATCCATATTGATTCATTCGTGTTCAAGATTCAAGAGCTTCACATATACAGTCTGTGCAGTGAAATGTAAAGTAAGTGTGTCTCGAGGCTGTGCAATGACAACAGGACATTAGAAAAGACAACAGCTCTTTAAAAACAATAGAAAATTGTCACCAAGATTGCTGTAAAAGACCTTTTGTGGTTTGCATTTACTGTCACAAGCATGAAGGATCAGTGTGTATCGTGGTCAGAGTGAGGAGACCTGTATGAGAGGGGTGTAGCAGGGCGAGCAGTCCCGGCTGATGGGGGAGGCCGGAGGCGTCGCCCAGGAGCGCAGCGACCTCGTCGGAGACAGCCGGTGGATTCTGCTCGCGTCGAGTCCGGCCACTGCCATGACCTGAGACAGTGAACGAATAGATACAAACAGGTCTGTTACAGGTCCTTCCATTGCTACAACTGCTATTACACGACAACAAATCATCCTGACATCACAGTTTTTTCATAATTGCTTAAAACCCTTGATCCTTTTTTCAAAAATGTCAACACAAACCCTAATTTTGAAACTGCATTCACACAAACTCTTCTGGCCTCAAAACACTTCTATCTGTGCTCAGAATCATTAGTCATTATTTTCAGGTCACACACACATTCAGTTCACACGACATTAAAAAGCAGTTTCTGTGCATTTGTTATTTTCTTTGTTGCTCCTGTTGTGTTTTTACTCACTGTGGACTCATTGTCCCTGCAATACAAACCCTGCACCTGAAACTGCACAATTATGGCTAAAAGCAGAGGGAACGTAAAAATGTCTTTCGTGTTATATGACACAGCGATAACGCCATAAATTATAATAAAATTCTTTGATTATTTATTTTACAAAAATTTCCACAAAG